AGATGAAAATGCCAGGTGTCTTTGTTAGATTACAGCTAAATGTCAGTTGGAAAACTGGTTATTATCTTTACGTATGTGGCTTTTAGGAAGATAGGTTTAAAGCCATTGTAATGGGCATACTTCAGTAGTAACTTGGAAATGGTTTTTGTTAAAGAGCCCTGACTCCCCCTTTGGCACACAAGTCACTATAAAGCTAACAGTCTGTTGCCCCTGCCTTCCTTTTTTATCTTTCTCCTTTTCTTAAAACCTTGGGTTAAACTCTTATTAATTTTGCATGTAGGTATTTGCATCTTTCCAGTGGTATTTGTCTAAAAAATGATGCCAAAGCTATTTCATCCCATTTTAAGGCTGGATACACAAAGACAAGAATGACAAATCTTACTTTCCCCTTCTAAAGCTTCTTCTTCTAGACTCCCAAAATGCTTTGGCATTTTTTTCAGTGACCGTAGTCACTCTGGATTCCAGGAGAGCACAAGTGGACAGAGTACTATGCCTGAGAATCAGGTCTTGTGCGGGAGCAGTCTTTCCCAGGAACTGGCTTGTTCTCATAAGCACTGATGACTTATTGGAACTGCCTTGTGGAACAAGAACTGAGAACAGACCACAGTTTGACCAAGACTCTTTAATGATGCATGTATCTTTCCCCTGCCTTTTTGGTTCTTCTCTTTAAGCCCAAAGTATTGTCAGTATCCTGAAGATGGACTTGGGGTGGGGAGTTATAGAACCCCCTTTTCTGTTCTTCTGTGTGCCCACTTAGAGTATATCTCCTCTCTGTGTCTTCTATCAGTGCTCATCTCTTTGACTGACACATTAGGACAGGTGGCTGAGCCTTGTTGTTGGTACTCCTAGAGCAGGGACTTCTGCCCTCTGTCTCTGGGAGCAAATTATTTCATTATTAGAAATTGCAAACCATTCTGTATAAAATTAGAGTTTTCCCAAAGAAATGAAACCAACTAAATTAAACACAGTAAGATCAGTGTGTGCATCTTTAAAATTAAAATGCTAGCATTGTTCATAATAAAACATGCAGCTTCTTATGGTTAAGTGAACATTACAGTATATCTGAGATGATAGGATTTCCCCCTAAATATTAGTAAACTCTAAAAATATGCATATGCTATGAGTCTGATACCTCATAATTAACTAGCTTCTGTTAGAAAAACCCTAACTTTGAAACCTGTCAGACTTTCTAGGAATACGAATTTATAAGTTCATTGAACATATTTAGTGGCTAGTCATTAGATGTGAGGGGAAGAGCCAGCTGGGCAGTGGAAGACAGGAAAAAGGAGATCACCAATGTAAGGCTTTCTGCTGTTCCAATTGAACCTACTCAGACTCATGAAATACCTGAGTATAGTACTTTCTGATGGGAGAAATACTTAGGTGAAAATCCTGGCTTGAACGTAGTTGAATTTACACAAGTCCATTAAATATACTCAGAATTTCTGAAAAGAAAGAATGGCTTAAATTTCAAATTAACATTGAATTGTCTCTAAAATGTGAATGATTGGTTTCTTTAATTTTGTTTTGTATTTCATAAACTGGCCTATAGTTGCCATAGAGAACTCATTGTTAGAAGAAATTTCATTTGATTTATTCTCAAGGAATAAAACCTTTCTGTAATGCAGCTCTCTGGTGATTGCAGACACCCTTAGGTTAATAGGTTTTAAAAGTTTTTTTAGACTTATTTATGTGTATGAATGCTTTGCATGAGTACCTGGAACCCTTGGATATCAGCAGAGGGCATAAGATCCTCTGGACCTGGAGTTATAGATGGTTGTGAGACACCATGTTGGTGCTCAGAATCAACCCTGGTTCTTTGTAAGAAAAGCAAGTGCTAGGGCTGGAGGGATAACTCAGCCGTTAAAGGCTAGGCTCACAACCAAAAATATAAGAAGAGCAAGTACTGTCCTTATATTTTAGTTTTAAATTTTTTCTTTGAACCAGTTTCAATTTTGAAACATAAATCTAGGTTTACTGTGGCATAACTGTCAAGAAATGCTAACTAATAATAACTACAGATAGTGAACTTGGATATTATACTACTGATTTATTTGGCTTGATGGTTGTTGGACTATGGTTCTCTTGGTAAAACTAGTTGTCACACGTAACATATCTTAAAACTCTGAGATAACAAAGATGATTTTTATAAAAATATACCACATGTTGTGTTATTTTGAATTCATTAGAATGGCTACCAAATCTTATACATGAACCAAAAGAATCATGATTATATTTTTTAAGGGTTAAGGAAATTTTAAAATTTCTTCTAAATGCCTTTTGAGGCATGGTATTGGAAAACAGTGGGATTCTGCTCATTTAAAATGAGATGCATGATTTTAATAGTTTCAAATATATTGAGAGCACAAGGCTGCTAGTAGGTGTAATGTATTAATTTTTTTACTGTGTTCTATAGATCATCATTCTGTCCCATGCCATTGGCCTTCTGAGATTTCAAGCCTCTGCCAGGAGTGATGTACACACTTGAATCTTTGTAGCTGAGATTATTTATGGCTCACAGTTAAACATAGCCACTGTTAATTATAGAATTTCCATTTCAATATGTAAACAAAAGTTCATAGCTTTGCATTTCTTTTATGTATTGCTGTTTTGGTATTGAGGCCATTTGTGTTCGTTGTCTCTGAGTTGGTAGACATGCTAATATTATATGCAGCTCAGTTCTCTTCCCACTTAGGTGTTTAATGATCTCATCTTTGGTCGCTGGAATTGATCATAGTGGGAGTATTTATTAAACAGTGAATGGTCAGCTTTTGCTTTTGTTTTCTGGAAAAGGGATTGTTATTTGCTTGCAAGCCACACCCCTACCTACTACCTATTAGTTTTCACTCCTCTTGATTTCACTCTCCTACATGTGTGTCTAAATTTATTACCACCCACTATACCTAATTTCTTAAAGTTGAACATGGTAAAGAATTAATTAAAAAGAATGTGGAGAAATCTTTTAATAATTCAGAAAAGTTTTATGCCTCTGAGTACCATTTCTTAAATTGGGTAATATGACTTTAACACCTCCTTTTGTTCTATTTGCTTAATAAAGTTTCAAAATGAAAATAACAGCGTGCTAATAGTTGTGAAAGTTCTCTGGCAAATGTTAAATAGATACTTTAAGCACGCTTTTAATCCCAGCACTCAGGAGGCAGAGGCATGCGGATCTCTGTGTGTTCCAGGCTATCCTGGTCTACAGAGCGAGTTTCACGAAGGCGTCCAAAACAATACAGAGAAACCTTGTCTCAAAAAACCAAAAAAAAAAAATGATAGTAAACTCTTGCTTCAGGTTTATAAAGGATAATTGCCTAAACGACAAAATCAAATCCCAATGTTGATGTCTTAGTTTTATCTCTTAACTTCCACCTGTATTACAATTTCACTTTCTGTCTGTGAGATACTGACTGGGGTCATGAATTCCTAGTTGTGTCACCCTTTCTCAGATGATATCACCAGAGGCTCTGCATGTTGATGACACGTGTTTCCTGATACATTCAGATCGCTTTCATGTATACTCACTATTTTTTTCCTCCGGGAAGAATGACCAATGAATCACAGTGGGCCGAGAAAACTAAAGCTAGTTATTATCCTTTGTTAAGAGGCACTTGTTAAAATGCAAATTTGGAAGTTAATGGGGGAAAGTGACACATTAAACCATAGTCACTCACTAATAGCAAGAAATGGCTGATGAAGTTATTTAGTCTTTGGGATGGATCTAAATTCCGATCAGTCTTAGGCAAACTACAGAAGAACTGAGGACATAGGGTTGGTCCTAGTGAGCAAGCCAGATACTAAAGTAGTATGCAGAGGAATGTGGACCCTTAGATGAGAGGAGTAGGGGTTCATCTAGAACAGGGGCACAATGCTGACATTTGACATGGCATTTCTTTACTCTCTTTTGAATGACTTTGATAGATTATGCCTTTCTGTTACATGTTTATCTTGCTTCTCAGATTCTGATTATTGGTGGTTTAACATGCATTTTTAAAAACATTACTACAAAGTCTCAATGAGTTGCTGAGGGAGAAATTGGTTCTGAAAACTGCTGAATCCTAATGAATTCCTTCCTTAAACAAATCATAAAATGTAATATGTAGGATGACCTCTAAAATCACCTTCTTTTTGTCTCACTCTCCCACGTTCTGGGACTGTAGACATCTGTCGACATGTCTGGCTTGTTTTCAAAATACTTTTAATTGTGGTCTCAATGACAGGCCCCATTGACAGGCTCCTGTGTTTGAATACTTGATCTCTAGTTGGTGAAACTCTTTGGGAAGGATTAGGAGGTATGGGCTTGTTGGAAGAAGTGTCACTTGTGGCACACTATATATTATGTATACATATATATGTGTGTGTGTATATATGTGTGTATACATATATATGTATAATTAGAATTTGTGATTTCTGTCTTTGTGATGTTTATCATAACTTTTCCATAGTAGTTAGAAGCAGCATGCTTGAGCAAGCAGGACTACTCTGCTTTCCTCAATCAGTTTCTCTAGTTTTCGTTATAAATAGCTATTTATTCATTTCCTACTAAAGACCTACAGGGTAAGGAGAAAAAAGTTTATGATCCCTACTTTCAAGCAACGATGTAGAGATAATTATATCAGCTAACTGATATAAGCTGTTTGCCATCTCTCTTTGTACTCAGTTCCTTTAATAGCTAACTCATTATTGAATACCCTAGGCTGCATTGAGGAAATTATGAGTATTGATTGTCTGTTTTACATTCCTCAGTCTCCTTTGGGGAAAGATTAAACTGTAATAGATTCCTTGTTTATTAAAAAGAAGCAATGGGATTAGTTCAGGTTTGTTGATGTTTATATAGGTATATCTAGTAAGATGAATATTGTATTTATGGAAGTTGTCTTATTTTACTTTCATATTTCTGTATCCATACTGTATTTACTCCATTACAGTTGGTACCAGAACCATATCTGTATTTGAGACCTTATCAACTGAATATATCTGTTTGTCTTCTTCTCTTTTAGCTGGACCACACCAATTTTGAGAAAAGGTTATAGAAAGAACTTGGAGTTATCGGACATATACCAAGTCCCTTCTTCTGACTCAGCTGACCATTTGTCTGAACAGCTAGAAAGGTATGATCGTATCCATGACTTTACTAGTAGAAGAAGGAAATTCTTTGTGTTTTTCAGGAAACAGAAAACGTGTGTATTAGAGGTTTAATTTTTAAATGGCACATTTAAAATAGGAGCATTTTATGCTTTTGCTGATCTTGGCCAGCTCAAGAATTAAACAATGAAACCATAAATTAAAAATAACCATTTTTTAAAGAAATGGCTTCTTTTACTAAAATGATATATATTCTGAGAATTTACTTATCTTTAAAAACACATGAAGGAAGATTTGGAAAGACTCAAATAACATCATTGTAAAGCAAGTTACCTTTATTTGTTTCCAAAATGTTTGTGGCAGTAGGGTTGGGATGCAGGGTTTGGCAAGCACCCTAACAATGAGATACATTTTTAGCATTGTTTTTTTTTTGAGACAAGATCTTATTTCTTAGCCCAAGCTAGCATTAATTTCACTACATACCCAGGATGGCCTCAAAGCAACCTTCTTTTTGCCTTAATATCTCAATAGGAATAGGAATGTGACACCATGTCTGGCTTGCCTTCAAATTATTTTTCAATTGAAAATGTTTATTATTATGGAGGTCTGAATGAGAGTAGCCCTCACAGGATCCTGTATTTGAATACTTTGTCACCAGTTGGTGTAACTTTTTGGGAAGGACTAGGAGGTGTGGCCTTTAAGTTTTCAAAACCCTATGCTGTTCCAAATAAACTCTCTGCCTCATGGATGCATCTCACGATATAAGTTCTCAGCTGCTCCAGCACTGTGTCTGCTGGTCTGCTGCTACGCTGTCCACAATGATGGTCTTAAACTTACTCTCTAAACTGTAAGCCTCCCATGAACTCTTTCTTCGATAAGTTGTCTTGGTCATGGTGCCTTGGCACAGTAGTATAAAAGTAACTAAACAATTATATTAATCAAAACCTATAAGTTGGTTGAATATTCTTAAAATACTAGTTTCTATTATGAATGTATAAAGTAGGTATAGATTAATTTTCTGATGCTAAAACAAACTATATTAGAATTTTTTGAGATAAGAACTTACAGTATATATTTTTTTCTTTTTAATTTTGGTTTATTTTGTTGAGAATTTTATGCAAGCATATAATATATTTTTATCAAATTCCTGGCCTATCTTCCTACCCCCTTTCCATGTACTCTTTTTTAAGATTCACTGACTCCAATTAGTGCTGCCAATATGTGAATGGGCATAGGGCCATCTACTGGATCATTGGTGGCCTCTCAAGGACTGCATCCCCAAAGAAAATTACTAATAGCTCCCCAGGTAGGGGTGGAACTTCATGAACTCATCCCTTCCCCCATGCTGAGATTCTCTCTAACCTGATCTTGTGCAAGTCTTCTGCATGCAATTGTAACTGCTATGAGTTCATATGTACAATAGTTCTGTCATGTCCAGCAAATGCTGACAACACATAATTATTTTGCTAGAGATATCCAATAACTCTAGCTCTTAAAATAATTCCACACGCACCTCCATGAAGATCCCTGACCAATTAGGTGTCCCATTTAGAGCTGAGAACACCAGTGTCTCTTATTCTGTACACACTGATCAGCTGTGGGTCTGTAAATTACTTGCTGTCTACTGCTTATCTGATGAGGTTGAGACATGCACTAATCTATGGATATGAAGGTCTTTGTTGTAGATCATATGGTTTACAAATGAGTAAGATTGTTACTTTTCTCTCTAGTTGCATGCATAGAAGTTTCAGCACTATGATCACTAGCCATAGGATAAAGCTTCCATGTTGGTATCAGACTGATTTTTTTTCACATCCTATGACTCAAGTATGTGAAACTTCATCAGTAGGATCTTGCTATCAAACTCTGGAAGCTAATCAAGCACATTGATAGTTTATAGCCTGTAATATTGGTGTGAAGGCTCTGTGGGACCCCAGTGACCAAATACTCTAGTGATATAACACCTGGAACTGAGATTTTTACTTACTTAGCCTATGGTGTCTAAGAGAGGCATTATCTCTCTGTTATAGGGTAAGTAAATTTACATGTATGTATATATTTGGGGAAACTTTTACAGAAATATTTTGCTAGCTTATGTCTTTTGTGTTTCCATTTGAATTCTAAGGTTTTTTTTCAATTTCTATGAAGTATTGCATTGAGTCCTGATGAAAATTACTTGGAATCTGTGAACTGCTTTTGATAGAATGGCCACTCATTTTTTTTAAAGAAACGGAGTGTGCTTGTGTTTGGTATGCATGGATTTAGAATTGTGATATCTAAATGTAGTACCTCTTAATGGATTATTCTTCCAATAGATGTGATGTTTCACCATCCTTATCTCTTCTGAGTAGCTTTAGTTTGAAGTTCATCTTGTCAGGTATTGCTGCTAGTATCCTCGGTAGAAATGACTTAGTGCTTGTAAATTCCCTTAATTTCCTTTTATCATTGAAAAAATTTATTTTTCTATAAATTTTGATAATTTTGCTGAAAATAGTAGTGTGAGTTTACAATTATGCTTCAGAACTAGGACCATACCTTGCCAAGCCTCTGTTAGAAGAAAGGATAATTCAGGAGGATAAGGCTACTAATTTTGGAGTGAGGTACGAGGTCATGGGAGGAGTTAGAGGAAAGGGACTTAGGAGGGGCTGGAGGGAGGAAAGAGCAAATGTATATAATTACATTTTAATTAAAATATAAAAAGTAAATGCATTTTAAAAGAAACGTTTCCATTGAATAATCAGGTACTATTCTGATGGCCCTGCCCTTATAAGTGACTTAACATTTTTTTCTTTCAATCTCTTTCTTTTTTCTGTACTTTCACTGTTTTAACCATAATATGTAGTGAGCATTATTTTGTGGTCCTACCTATTTGGTGTTATGTAAGGCCTCTTGTACCTAGATGGCATCTCCTTCTCTAGGTTTGGAATATTTTGTTATATGGCTTTATTGACAATATTTGCAAAGCCTTCACTCTGGAGCTCCAGAGGTTTCAGACATTATGGTTATGTATATTTTTAAGATTCATCCCTTACTTTTCCTGAGTAACCCAATTGCTATATCTTGTCTTCAGCTCCAGGTCTACTGTGATCTATTCTGCTGAGAGGACTTCCCACTGAGATTTTTGTTTGTATTGATTTTTCCCAATTTCTAGAATCCTTTCAGTTTGTTTTTCCCCCCAGCAATTCTCTTAATTGAATTCTATTATCATGTCTTGTATTGACTATTTACTTAGTTAATTCATTTGTCCTTTTGTAGTCTATTCATGCCTATTTTCCAGTTGTTTGAATATACTTATAATCTTCTAGGTTATCTTTATTAGGTGCCATCATTGTGGGATTAGTAATTTGTGGATGAAATATGGTATCTTCGTTTTCCAAATTGATTTCATGTCTGTGATGGGATTTGAACATTTGAAGTGGTTTGTTGAGTTCACTTCTCCATATTTCAGTGCAGGCATCTACAATGTTCATGAGAAGACTAAATCTCAATAGGGTTAAGAACACCATTTTCATTTGTGGGGCTGTTGCAGGAAATTTGTGGCAGAATTGGTAGCTAAGAAAAGGTAGCAACTTCCCTGCTTACTACACAAGGATGTGTAGTCTGGGCATCTGGAACAAAATTCCTGTGAGCTGTAACAGGCCTTGTATAGATTGCCGGTGGTGAGCGCATAGAGGGTCACCTTTGAAATCTGAATGTGTGGATGCCATTATATCTTGTGGAAACCTTAAGGTAATAGCATTTGAATATCAAAGAATTATGAAATTTCACAATTTTCAGTATCTGTTACATATCAAGCATAATTTTTCATCTTGACCACTCTGGAAGAAAGCCATAATTGTCTTCACCTTACAGAAGAGCAGGCCACAGCTTAGAGATAATGTGATTTGCCAACCACTGAATGATGAAGCTGTAATTCAGTCCAGGTGAATTTATTATAGTTCCCCTTTCTGGGTATTGGTTGGGGCCACTGTGGTTGTGAGTGACAGAACCCAATCAACTAGGCTTATCAATTAAAAAGAGGACATTTGATAAGTCTTGAAGACTAAATTGTGTGAATGTCTAGATAGAGAATTAGTCCAAAGGAGTCCGTGACTCCTAACACTGAAATATCTATGTGATATTTGTTCTGTGCTGGTTTATTTCCTTAGACTAGTTTTCTTCTCAGGTGGAGCTCACAGACTTCTATGCTTATCCCTTTCTGTGTCACAGATAACTCTTCCCTCCTATTTCCTTCCTTTTCTCCCTCTCTTCCTTCTTCCCTTCATTCTTTCCTTCTTCTCCCCTCTCTATTTTTTCTTTTGTCACCAAATTTATAGAATTATCTGACCCAACATAATTTTTCTACTTAGTTTTCTGACCCCAATTTTGATTATTTTAAAATACATCTATTTTATTTTAATTCAACCTCTTTGTCTCAGAATAGATAAATTTTAATAAATAAATTCTAATCTTTATAATTTTATTATATTGTTATTTTTATCTATTCATATTATTAGAAATATATGGAAACTACTCCTTTACACCCTTGTGAAGTGACTCAAAGTATTCAGGTTGTTGGTAGAGGTACATTGACTGCTCTGGTTTACTTTTGTGGTCATAAGATTGAACCATCTATATTACTGCAGTATGAAAACCACATACCCACTCCATGTTCCTAACTAACTTATGAGCTTTGCAAGGCAAGTTCCTCCTCCTCATGAAGCCTGTTGTCCTGCTGGATCAATACCATCTACTCTTGTTGCTAATTCCTCCTGTATATCTGCAAACCATTCAAGTCCCACCAATTAAAACAACAGTTTCCATTTCCCTCAAGTCACTACATGTCTCCGATTTCATAGCTTACAATTCTCTGCTGCTCTGGTCTTCATTTATCATCCATTTATATCTCAACACCTGAAATACAGTTTCTATTTTCATCATGTTCCTAAAACTGCATTGATGAAGGGATACCAGAGACCTCTTACTTATCAAAAGTGATCTATTTTTTTGTACTTACTATTTCACTATAATTGGTATCTTTATCTTGAAATCATTTCTTTGGTTTATGGACAGTCCCTTTCCTGCATTTCCTAGATATAGTTCATCACTAAGTTCTAATTGAAGTATTAATGAGACTTTTTAATAAGACTTAGTCCTTGCACGGAGAAGATGCTGTTGCTATATGCTTATATGTGCCTGATTTTTGATCCACTAGCTATCACAGATGGAGAAACAGGGTGTATGTGAACGAAGAGCAGAAGAGGACCAACCATGGGTTGGCTAGGCTTCATAGATCCGCTGTGACAGTTAAAAGCAAGCATCATGGGATGAGGGGGAAAAGTTTGACTATCTATTTTTGCATCTTGTTCTCAGCGCAGATGTGTTCTATGTGCTGTGTGTAATTTGTTCACCTGGCCATCTCTCTGAAGCAGCCTAGTATGCTTCTTTTACATACACTGTTCAGTAGTTTCATGAAATGAAGCTCTGCCGAGTGACTACATGGCAGAGCATCAAATTCTGCCAAGTGCCTGAGTAGTTGGTACTGGAGAGATTTCATACGGTTTTGTCCTCTCATTGTGCTGTGTTAATCTCCTTAAGCATGCTGGAGGATGGAGACTAAGAAGGGAAGTAGATGAATTTGAGGACTTGCACTTGCAGCTCCTGGGTCTCATTTTCTTATTCTTTGCAGAGAATGGGACAGGGAACAAGCTTCAAAGAAGAACCCAAAGCTTATCCATGCCCTTCGACGATGCTTCTTCTGGAGATTCTTCTTCTATGGGATCCTGTTATACCTAGGGGTAAGACTCTCACAGGTGAACATAGTATTATTGAGGTATCTATGGCATCTTGTTATCCTAATGGTAACACTCTTCATTGTAAACATAGTATCATGTATTACTGAGATATCTATGACATCTTGTTATCCTAGGAGTAAGATTCTCACTGTAAACATAGTATCATGTAATATTGAGATATCTATGGCATCTTGTTATCCTAAGGGTAAGACTCTCACTGTAAACATAGTATCATATATTACTGAGATATTTATGACATCTTGTTATCCTAGGAGTAAGATTCTCACTGTAAACATAGTGTCATGTATTATTCAGATAGTAAGTAGTTTTGTGATTATAGAAGGATGTAAGATATTTATAAGATTCTATTACAATTCTAAACACAAACCACCCAAAATTAAGGCAAGTGGAGACTCTTGAAATGCAGATTTCAATTTACAGTTTGTAATTAAAATGGATCCAGAAAATCAAATTATTTGTTTAAAATTTTTTCTCTTTTATGAATCCAAATCACATCTTAACCGTATATGAGATTGCTGGTACCTTTACTTTTCTGTATTCAAAAAGAGAATGTTTGGAGATAATATAGTGACAAGAGTAATTTAGTCAATTACCTGGAGGAATATTTATGATGTCTTGAAATTATAATATCTACATTGAATTGTTTCCCAAAAGAAGCAAAAGTTTAAGACGAGGCAGTGGGGTAAGCTTGAATGCATTTTGCCAGCTTATGTCTTCATCATTGTAAAGAGAATAGCAAGAATGGAAACCCAGGCTTGTGAGGTTTACAAACTTGACTTGGGTGTTGTTTTCTGTATCATCAGAGCATCACTTGATTCCATTTATGCATCCCTGCACAGAGGTAGATATTAGTTCAGCTTAAAACATCCCAGAAAGTTAAAGGACTTAAAGAAATCCTGGTACTAACAATGCCACAGTTCTTAAATTCCTGTGACTGCTATAAAGAAGGATCTGTCTCTTGTAATTAGACAAATAGAAATGAAGGTTGTGCCTTTGGCACTTTAACTTTATACACCCCTTCAATATGAATGGTCTTAGCAAATTTGGAATTCACTCCTCATCTTTCTGTCCCGCACCATGAGCCCCATATCTGGCTGCAGCAGACACTTTGAACTGTCTATAACCCTGCTGTATCTCAAGTATTTATTTATTGTCCACGTAGAGCGTCTGCCCCCATTTGTCTTCCCGAGATCCTGCAACAAGAACACTCAAATTCATAGCATCCTTCTTGAAAAGTAAGGAAATTTTACTGATCTTCACAGTGGCCAGTATCCAACTCGAGATAATTTGATACTTCTGTGTTTATTTTTTATCAGAATATTTACTTAATGAAAGAGAGGTTGAGCATTCCTTTAGATAATGTTTCTGTTCTTCATATATTTGTGAATGTGGTTCTGTGTCATGAGATGTTTTCTACCTAATTAATAAATCCTCTAATTTTACTGTAATTATTGGAATAAATTGCATTAAATTAAATTACAAGTCATTGGATATTTAAATTATTTCCATTTTATGGCTAGTGAACATAGTCCTTCAGTATACACCAATTTGATAAAAACTAAATCTTGGTGTAACTTCTAGACTCAAACTTTACAAATATAACTAGAAAATGTGTAATTTAATTTTCTAGTACTACATTGAGAAAGTTGAGTCTTTACTACCAATTGGTATTATCATCATTAAAATTTTAAGTGAAAAGAATATATTACTATTATTACCAGCATTATTTTTATGCTTTTATGTAGTCATTATGAATTTCTTTTCTGTATGTGAATTGCCCCTTTATCCTATTATTCTGGGTTTGTGTGTGTATGTGTGTTTGTCTATTTGATACTAGAATATTCTTTCTGGACTTTTGGTCTTGTAAATTTATTCTAGTAATTTTTAATTAAAACAATTTTAAGACATGGCCTTTCTCTGTAAGTGTGGTTGGCCTGCCTTGTCTGAAATTCACTATGCAGTCCAGACTGGTCTGAATTTTCAGAGAGCCACCTGCTTTTGCCTCCTGAGTGCTAGAATAAAGGCATTTGCCACCGCATGTGGACAAATTTTTATTTTCTAACCATTGTAATATTTTAATTGCTTCATAATCTATGCAGTATGTTTGTTTTTTATTTTATTTATGCTTTTGTTTACATTTATGCTTTTGTTTCAGACTTTAATAAAATTCAAACTTTATGCAAAGTGCAGGTATATTCAGTTTTACTTTTAATTTTGCTTTAAGGTTTGTTTATTTATAGGTATGTGCATGTGCTTGCATGTCTATGTGTTTACCAGATGTGTGCAGATACCACAGAGACAAGAAGAGGGCATTATGTTCCCTGGGACTAGAGTCACAGTTTTAAACTGCTTTAGGAAGGTACTGGGCACCAAACTCGAGTCCTCTAGAAGAACAACATCCTCTTAACTATCGAACCATCTCTCTGGCCCCAGCCAGTACTTCATTATGTCATGGATTACATTTAAATATTGAACCTACTTATAATTCATTTTGATATAAATATGTAGTATGTAATATATATATGTATATATAAGATTTTATTTTTTTAGTCAGGCTGTGGTGGTGCACACCTTTATTCCTAGCACTCAGGAGGCAGAGGCAGGTGAATCTCTGTGAGTTCGAGACCAACCTTGTCTACAAGAGATAGTTCCAGGACAACCTCCAAAGCCACAGAGAAGCCCTGCCTCAAAATGCCAAAAAGAAAAAAAGGAATTTAATTTTTTAAAGCTCAGATCCAATTTTTTCATTATTGATTGAATAAGCTTTACTTTCCCCACTGAATTAAGTGCCACACAATATATTTGGATCTTTTCCTGAGGTTTCTAGATAAATCAGTATACTTTGTTATGTGACATGAATAGTTTTATGGTTTTTTTTTTTTTTTGGTTTTTCGAGACAGGGTTTCTCTGGCTTTGGAGGCTGTCCTGGAACTCGCTTGGTAGTCCAGGCTGGTCTCGAACCTACAGAGATCCGCCTGCCTCTGCCTCCAGTTTTATGGTTTAATAGCCACTAACTTAAGTTATTGTTTTGGAGGCTGTCGGTCCAGCCTGGCCTCGAACTCACAGAGATCCGCCTGCCTCTGCCTCCCGAGTGCTGGGATTAAAGGCATGCGCCACCACCACCCCGCAAGTTTATTGTTTTTATTCTTCAAATGGTTTCAATTAGTATTTATTCCCAAAAGGAATTCACAGTAATTTCATATTTTAATAAATTATATTTAACAAATATTTATTGATTAGGTACACTTACTAGATATATAGCATGTGCCATTGGAACTCTTGCAGCAGTAAATATAGATAGCCCCTGCTCTGGTGCGAATTTTTTTATTTTTAAAATTAATCTTTTAAAAATATTAGGGGAAACATAATCTTTGCGATATTTAGTTTTTCTTAGTTCAATTAGTTTTACTATACTTAATAGTATCTGGAGTGAATCACATTATATATTAATAATGGTGCTTTTTGCTTTTTATTTATAATATTCATAACAATAATTTTCTTATTAAATTACCTTAGAAGTTTCAGAAAGATGTTAAGTGGCCACTATAGCCAGTATTCTTTTGTATTTCTGACTCCAAAGGCTGTGTTTTCCACCATGATGCTGATTCCTGGTTCTGGAGGAGCTTCTTTTCTAGGTTAATAAGGAATATTTATATTCAGCTTTGTTGGAACTTTTACCAGATCAAGATATCAATTTTGAAATTAGTTTCTCTGTTGTCACAGTTATATTCACAGATGGTTCAATAGTGTATTGGTATTCCATTAGTTGATTTCTCAGTATTACCTGCCTTAATGTTCTAAAGGTAAAGCTAAAACTTGCTTAAAACATGTGAAGGTGATAATGATATTACTTAGCGGCTGCACAAGACATAACAAAGAGATTTTAAACCACATATGCTAGGCAAACACTCTACTCTTGAGCTAAGCTCCCAGCTTCAGAACTTGTGGTTTTTCTGTTTTTGTTTTTGTATAAAGATGCCTTGGGGGTAAGTCCATATAATTTAGCTGGAAACCTGAGTTTGCCCTGCTATTTTCATCTGAACTTTTCTTTATAGTCTGAATATCTACTCAATGCAGACTCTCCTGTCTCTAGAAACATCTGACATTTCAGGTACGATGGAAGTGGCTTAAGGATATGCATTACAGTGACTTTGAGCTCTGTCGTTGAAAATCTTATAATAACCCAGGTGTATCCATCTTGAAGGGGTTCAAACTTCCCCTGGGAGGCTACTGAGACCTAAAATTATTCCCACTTGAGTGCAATCCCTTTTAGCTATTTTTATTTGACCACTTACCCAGGTAATAGATGGTCTTTTGGTTGAAAGGAAGTGTATGCAGACTGGCCTGGACTTCATAATCCTTCCTTTGCAACCCCCCAAGATAGGATTATGGTCATGTGTCAAAATTCCTGGCCCTGAATGGTCTTTTGAACTCACACTTTTCAGTTCTGTACATTTATGAGAATATATATATATATATATATATATATATATATATATATATATATATATATAAACTCATGTCATACTTTCAGGGATGATGTTATAAGAGAGGACCCTCTGGTTTATCAGAGTTTACCAATGAGGAGAGCTTCTCAAACAATAAAAGTGACTGAGGGGACACAGAGTGTAGATACACTGAATAAGAGTACTGAAGAAAAAGAGTCATGAACTTAAGAAGGAGTTACGGTTGGTCATGGATGGAGTTTGAAGGGAGGGAGAGCGTCATAGAAATGATACATAAAGTATTTGTGTATAAAATTCTCAAAAATAAATGTAAAAAAAAAAGAAATTTGAGTTTTATGATCCTGAGTTTAGTGTTCATATTGTCTTAAACATGGATATTAAGCTTCTTCCATTTTCTAAGTGTAAGAATAAGTAAATTATATCCTGTTTTATGCCACATAAAATTTTTGAATATTGTACTGGTTGTTATCTTATTTAAAATAGCTTTCCATTTCATGTGGTGAAAATGAGGGCACTTCTATTTCTGAAAATAATCTGAGCAACAGGGGACATTCAGCTTTCATGTTCCAGTAGTGATTTTTGAGAAGGACTGTGCTTTATAGGTTAAGCTAGGTATCAGTTACCATTATGTTTTTTTCCACATAAAAAATGTCAGGTGGATCTGTGAATGGTTCCATTGTAAATAGCAGAGAATATGATACATGAAAGAGATTAGGAAAAATAGTAGAAGGAGAGAGGCAAGACATGCAGGTCTTGTCCCTGAGTGATAACAGAACTATGTGGTAATGAGGTTCATGCTGGGATTTACAGATGATCCTGTCATTGAAATTTTTCAGTGAAGAAACAAACTGAGTATCAGCTCTTCCAGAGTGATACTACTGTGTCTTTGTGGGATGACCTATGTTTTCCAAAAGATGAATATGCCGTTATTTGAGACAAGATGAAATCTTAACTCAGTAGTAGCAATATGTAAAATAGGCATTCAATTCAGGGTAATACAAGTTATGGTTTTTATATTAAGATTCAATGAAATAACTAAGCAAATAAATCTATCAAGATAAAGATGGTAGGTTATAAGAAACTATACTGGGGATCCAACATCAGCAGAGAGTTTAGTTCAAACTAGTTAACAGAAGAAAAAATATAAACTTATAATTTTTAACTTGAAAAATTCTGTTAAAACTAAGCTTTTAAAATACTTATTTTTCCTCAGGATGACCTCTTTAATCTTCATAAACAAGATTTATTTCTTAGAAATAGTTACGTATATTTTGTGCAATATGACATTTAATACAGTCTCTAACTTGTCTTTGATTTCTCTCATCTTACAAAAAAACCAAGACCATAATAGACAAGTATAAAACACCACATTTGCATCTGTGCAGACATAGATATCCTGATAAAAAGGCATGTTAGATACATTTAGAGTAAATGAGGTAGCTATATGATACATATATATATACATATATAAAGATAAATGTATAAAATGCTTTTAGTTTAAAAAACCATTTTGAGGACTTTTCTATGACATTTAAAATTCACATCTAGGTCATATTATCCTGAATATCCTGCTTAGTTTCTAATTTAATTCTACATCTAAATATGTTAAAGATGTTTAGCTATGTGATAAAAATATAAAGTATATATAAGATGAAGTACACTAAGAAGTACACTTTAAAAGCAAGTTTTATTCACTAAATATCACAAACTATTATTAGCATATTATAACTAGGTAAGAGGTTAAAAATTTGCTTTTTCATACCTGCCTTTTTATTTGTCATAATTCAAATTCACTTAAATGTGGCCACATTGTATTTCAACTTCGTGATGATTTTGGAATCTTTTTGAAAAATTTGAATCTTCTGTTATATCCAGAGCTTTGATTTATACTGTTCTGAAGTGAAGCTCTGTATATAAGTACAGAATGAGCAACTACACCAGGCAAATGATCACTGACTGTTATAGTAGGAGGGAGGTACTGTAGAAAACATGGTCATCTTTTTGGGAATTGTGGGACAGGTAATATTGCCACTTAAATTTTTCAAAAATTATTGTAGAGAACAGTAAAAAGCAAAATAATGCTCTTCATTCCTAGGTGAGTCAGTGAGACGTAGAGGTAACCAATTAGGATCATGTCTATCTTAATCTTCTTGTGGGAGTTAGCCCTAAATTTCTATTTTACTAAGTCATTATGAAACAAAAATTGTAATTCCTAATTTGAAGCTGTTTAGCAAGATATATAAGATTTAGAGTTCCTGGGTTCAAACTTATTCATGTACATTTGAAAAGTTGATGAGTTTGTTGGAAACTGGCCCAATGTAAAGTGTTATAGTATACCTTACTGAAGCCACTATTCATCCAGGTTTTAGTGAACACCTCACACAAACTTGTCTCGAAGTGACTTTTGCTAAAACTAATAACCAAGTCTTATTTCAGAGTATAAAATCTCACTATGAAATCATGAGGGTATTCTAAGACAAGGAAATGAAATGTAATCTGTTTTTTCCTCCTGCAGGAAGTCACCAAGGCTGTCCAGCCTCTCTTGCTAGGAAGAATCATAGCTTCCTATGATCCAGATAACAAGGCGGAGCGCTCCATTGCCATTTACCTAGGTATAGGCTTATGTCTTCTCTTCGTTGTCAGGACGCTGCTTCTTCATCCAGCCATTTTTGGCCTTCATCGCATTGGAATGCAGATGAGAATAGCTATGTTTAGTTTGATGTATAAGAAGGTAAGACTTAAGGGGGTGTTTTTGATTAGCTCTGTTTCGTTATTTCAGTGCTGGGGATAGAACTCAGCATTTCCTGTATGCCACCAAGCTCTTTGCTGGGTTTGCCACCCTGCACGGTCTCATATATTTTACATGACATATCTTAAATACCCTGAATTATATTGTGAGCTCTAAAAAGGATAATTTCATGTGTCTGTGAAATAAATGGCAGGAATAAGTACTGTTATGAGTTATCTATCCTTGGTAATTCAATTTGCTTCAGTGTGGAATTATTAAGTACCTTCTATAACAACAGTATTGCAGGTACCATTTTTAGTGGAAGGATCTGAGTGGTTTTGTTTTTGGGGTTTTGTTGTTGTTGTTTCTTGAATTACTAAAAATTGAATCCAGGACTTCATACACAATAAACAAGTGCTACAGCAGTGGGCTAAATCACCATTAATTTTTCGTCTACCTTTTTTTCCGTTAAAATGACAAATATTATTGAAAATATCATGTTATGCCAAAGTGTAATTTCTCATTGTTAATTATAACTTGAGCAATACATTTCCACTTACCCAGCTACCACAGATGGCAAACATTGGTAACACTCACCTACTGTCTTACTGAGTTGAATCTTTGTCATCTAGTGAGTCTTGCAACTATAAAGTTTTTGAAATAGTACATACATAGAACTCATATAAGAACTTAGTTTGCTTTTCTGCATGTGTTAGCTAGGCAAAAGCCTAAATTGTCTAGGAATGACTTAAATCAATTCCACTGAACATTTAGCTACCTAAATGTTATCTAAAATTCTGATAAAATTCAGAGTCATTTCAATGGCATGTGCTTTCTCCAGTCTGTGTATGTGACTGTGTTACTCTACCAAGTGATCAAATAGATGTGTTGGGGCACCATTTATATATTCCCTTGTTCGTTGGTATTTTCTTCCTTCAATTACACACTTTATATGCTTGATTTATAAGGGCTATGGACCTGAAATTGACCTCTAACAAGTAATGCATAACATCACAATGGTACATACTCAAGGCTAATTGTGTAATAAAATCTTGATAGCCATACTTTATTGTTAAAAAAAAAAGACCTTTATGGAGCCACAGAACAACAAAAAGGAGTCTGAAGTTTAATTGAATCTCTTAAGCTACAATCTCATCAATTCCTAAGTCCCAGGAAAACATGATGATAAATCATCAAAACATTTTATAGATCATTTCTAGTGTAGAATCTACATAACTTGCTGCCAAAGAAAGTTGAATTTATTTTAAGAAATATCTGTTAAGTACATATTGCAATGGTAATAACTAAGGATGTATATGTCACACTAATAGATGATTTAAATGTCATCGAATTTGATCTACCCACAACTCTCTACTGTAGGTAGTGTTATCTCTCTTTTTTTAAAGGAAACTGAGACCTATAAAGGAAGAGTATTATATAAAAGCTACTTCAAAATTTCAAAATAGGTATTTCACAGTCTTTGAAGTAAAATGGTTTCTGGGCATTAGGAAAATCAAAAGTATGGAAATATAGTACTGAGGCAAAAGGGATGTGAAATAAAACAAGGATTACAGTTAATTTGTGAAAAAGTCCTCGTGTACCATTTAATACGTGTCCTTTAAACACACTAATGTAGAGTTTGAGGCTCTCCCGCATGCATTCTCATCTCAACATCAACTACCTGTGATGGCTGATCACTTAGTTTACCTTGCAAACCACACTTACATAACTATGTTGGCTTAATGCCACAGCATGAGCACATCTTCATGTTGCTTTAGTTTGGTCCCTAATTACACTTTGTCTTTGCTGCCATGTCCCATTCCCTTCCCCATATCCATGCTGTCTCAGAGTCATGGCAAGAGGAATATAGGGTTCTTCCTAAAATATTTCAAATTTCATACTTGAGACAGTCACTCCCATAGCCATTAATACTGAAAACGACTGCAAACACAAACTAAACTTTGCCCATGAATTTGAAGATTGTCAAAATAACTGAATAAATATTTAGCTTCATGTTTTACTCTATACATAACTTTGCCTGACATTGAAACTTTTTCTAAGACACATGTAATCTACCTCAGGGAGTTCTCCCTCTTCTCCCATTGCTCCAATAACATTTTGTAATTAATTACCCTACCTCTCCATCTTTGCCTGTCTAAAAATTATCCATCATGTTAGTTCCATCTCTATGAAATCACTCATATTTTTCTAATCCAAAGTATGAGCCCACTCAACTTTTTGCATTCTTTAACTAAATATATATATTATATATATATACATACATACACACATACATATATATATTTAGTTAAGGAATATATATATATATATATATATTCTAGGTTACTCTCAGGCAAGAATTATATACTGATAAATATTAAACCTGATGTATACAGGACAATGGTTTGTATCTATTAAATATTCAACAAATATTCAACAAATATGTGACGAGTTGAAAAAAATAAATGGTGCTTTGCTGCCAAAGCCATCTAACCAAATAAAATAATATTAAATTTCACAAAACATTATTCTATTTCATGATCATAATTTATGTCATATTAAATCATTAATTTCTAAGTTATTATAACATACTTTTATTTACTTTGACGGTACTTTTATTCCACAGAAATGGTGAAGGAATTTATGCAATAGTGAAGACCAGGTTTCACTACCCTAGGTTCCATCCTTGATTTTTGAATTTATAAACATTTTTTCATTATTTGAAATTTTAATATACATATACAATTAATTTCAGTCATTTTTGTCCTCAGTTTCTCTCACATTCCCTGCCCTCTCCCACTGGAACTCATTTTAGCAAGTCCCTTTCCAATCAATTCCGTGTCTTTTGTGTGTGGTCGGTCCACTGATTTTTAACAAGAGCATAGTGGAAGATTACTTAGTGGAGCAAGGGCAGCTTATCTGTGTTACATTAATGACAAGATAACTCGACAGCTCTCCCTAACAAGCATGAGGCTGCCCCATCCATCCTGAAAGGTCTCATCCTATGCAGATAACCTCAGCTGTAAAGAGTTCATGAGTGCAGCTGATATGTTCTGTGAGAACACTTCTTTCGACTGTCTACCTTTGCTAAGCTCAGCCCTTATATTCTTTGTGCCCCTTTTCTGTCATGTTCTCTGAGTCACGGGGCAGGGAAGAGAGTGACATAGCCATCTTATTTATCACCACCATTCCACCCTCACTTAGTTACCACGGTTGGGTCAGTTGTAGGTTTCTGCAGTCACCAGCACCCATTGTCCTAAGAAACTTTTCTGATAATGGCCGAGTGCAAACCCGAAATGGGAGTAGTGAGAAGATAGCTTGATAATTTGACCATTTTAGCAGAACAACAATTATTTCGCTACCTCTTGTAGCCAGAGGCCTCCCTAGACAGAGACTCTTAACCAGGTTACAGAACCAAACATTAATTCCCTAATGTGGAGCAGGCTTTAGCTTCAGTCAGAAAGGCTAGTCACCTCCATAAAACTCATACTACCGCTGTACTAGTGGACACATTTTGCAAAGAGACGAGGTTTTTATAGTTTACTAGAGTCACAGCTGGTAAGAGGACGCTCTTTCTTCCCCAGCAGTTTGCATACACCTCTGATACTACAAAAACTAGCCAGCAGGGAGGAAGCTTAGAGCTCAGCTCCATGTCCTGTGACTGTAGTATACAGTATATTCAGCAATAGAGTCTTACCCTTAAGTTCTGGAGGGCAACCAAGAGCATTGGCAAAACCCTGTGTTGTTTGGGAGAACCTCTGAGATCTCCCTGAGCAGTCACTCATAGGAGGGTACCCCATACACATACCCAGCGCTGGAACTTTGATTACTCATGTCCTTTGAGAGGAATATCATCCATGGAGGAGACCTCTATTCAAAATTTTTATGATTGTTTTTTGTTTGTTTGTTTGTTTGTTTGTTTAAAACTTTATTATTAGCAAGGCAGTGATTGTGACTGCTTTTAATCCTGGTACTCGGGAGGTAGAGGCAGGTGGATCTCTGAGTTCAAGGCCAGTCTAATCTACAGAGGGAGTTCTAGGACAGCCAGGGCTACACCAAGAAACCCTGTCTCAAAAAAAAAAATAAAAACAAAAACAACCTTTATTGTTAGAACTGTATAAGAGTGATACTCAAAGTGTAAATTTTAAACTCAAATATATATAATATTATATAGTTCCAGCTATTATTGATTTCTCAAGGCATGATATATATTACAGGCAAGACAAGCATTAATAATAATGTTCCCAAATTAAATCATCCTGGTAATTGCAGTTTGGGGACACACTTCATTATCACATGGCATGACATGTGTTTCCTTGCAGTATCTTCAAGAGAGACAGAGTATGAGTAAATGGGTCTCTGCCAGTGTATTTTTGTATGCTTGTTAGATTGTATTACTGCAAATAGTATTCTTACCCCACAGTCCATGTCGAACTCCATTCTGCTAAAGTTAATTTAGTTAAATCTGGGTGATTCTGAAGCCACTCAACAGAGGGAATACTTCAGCCACCCAAAGCAGAGGGAAGGTGGATGTCTACCCCCCTGCTTTGTGAATTCTCACACCTCACTTAGGACACTCTACACCCCTCACCTGTGCTATGGAATTGTCACACCTCACTTAGGACATTGCGCATCTCTCACCTATCCTATGAACCTGGCTCTGAGATGCTGTCATTAATGAAGTCTTAAGATTGTGTTTTTAAAAGCAAACTTATAAAATAGTTTTCCACGTGACTTTTCATTTATCCTTACTTTTGGTTACCTTCTCTCTTCTCCTTGCTTTCCCCTTTCCTCCCATCCCTCTCCCAGCAGAGATGTCTCCACGCTCATCCCGCAGCCCTGGCTACCATTTCATGTCTGGTATAATGCTGTTCTCACTCCCTCTCTCTGATGCCCTTTTCTCATCCTTCTGACTTTTACCAATACATAGTTCTGCTTAATATTCTAAAAATTCACAGCTAAGATTCTCACATAAGGAAGAACTGGTAGCATTTGTCTTTCTGGATCTGACTTACCTAACAGAGTATAATATTTGTTTCCAGTTTTAAAAACAAAGTAAGAAAATTCCCCAAAACTCAAACAAATAGACTCAAAAAGATAAAAAGACCCAAGCTCACACTTTACAAATGGATATTTAAATCTGGTATCACTTTTATTGTCAAAGACAAAAATCTTAGTTTCCATATGACAGGAAATATAAAAAACAGATATTTCAATGTAGTATTTGCTCTTTAGTCGAACATTCATAAAGCTGAGAAGGTATGAAACTAAGAATATGAAACAAGGCTGGCCCTCCACTTAAGATACATGCAGTCACACCTTCCACTTTACTAATTGTTTCTTATGAATTCATTTTACCTTTGTTTGTTGATATCACCTAACTTCCCATTTTTCTTTTAGACTTTAAAGCTGTCAAGCCGTGTTCTTGATAAAATAAGTATTGGACAACTTGTTAGTCTTCTTTCCAACAACCTGAACAAATTTGATGAAGTATGTACCCACTGATTAAATGTCTTATGCATTTTATTAGAAACCAACCCTAAATGAAGATTTATCCTGCACCACATAACAGTGATAAGTATCAAAGTCCCACCCATCCCTAGTATAGCTATTTCTGGAAACTGGGGAAGATAAATTGTGTCAGTGAGCACCATTCTGAGGTCAGGTAAAATTGCCCAACTCAAACATACCTCAGCTTGCTCTTAATAAGGTTTTTCAAGATTTAATCCTTATCAGACTTTGCTTCCTTTTAATCATACTTTAAATTGTTATTTACTTTGGCTAAATATGATACTCTGAGTAGTTCTTGTTCTATGCTGTCTTATGTCACACACAAGTAAATTCAAGGTCCTTGAGGACAAATACTGTGTTTTGTTTATCTTTGCACTTCCAGTATTTAACGTAACAAGGGTTAAAAAAATTTCTATTGAATTGAGTACCAGATGTTGATCTGTACAAACAGTGTGTGTGTGTGTGTGTATGTACACCTAGTCTCTGAGGAGAGTCTTTTGTTGTCACTTGTTCTAACTTGAGGACACTTAACTTTATTTAAAAAGGATATTAATTAATTAAAATCTGGGCACAATTCCTAAGATATCCAATCCTATTACACTTGGGGAAAAAAATCATACTTTGAAATGTAGTGACTTGAAATTTTTACCTTGAGTAACCTATCTTTGCATTGATTAAACCCAGTGCTATGCTTCCATATCAAGAAATCTAAATATAAATGTGCTCAGAACCATGAATACCTTGACTGGATAAGTCCTGGGTGCTCATTTGTTTTTTTCCCTGTATGTGTTTCTTTGCTTGTTTTTTGAGGGTGGAGTATAACATACCACTTGCTTTTCTCTGTGTTTTTATGTTTCAGGGACTTGCCTTGGCACATTTTGTATGGATCGCTCCTTTACAAGTGACTCTCCTGATGGGTCTTCTCTGGGAGTTGTTACAATTCTCTGCCTTCTGTGGCCTTGGTTTACTGATAATCCTAGTCTTTCTTCAAGCTGTTTTAGGGAAGATGATGGTGAAGTACAGGTAGTGATCTTTGTCACAGCTTGAAGAAATTTAACTTGGGATTTTCTATGTCCTGAAGAGAAAACTATGGGATATCACTAAGGAGTTATTTTAATGGTGTCAATAATACATCATATACCAGAAAGGGTTTTTTCCCTTATTGGTCTACAGAATATACTCATATAATTAAAGTGGCTATAGCATTGATATGAAATGGAAGGAATGTCTAAATTTTGTATAGAATTTATTGACGTTTTCTACTCCATATTGTTGGTCATTCTACCAAAGTCATTACTTTTATTACAGAATGAATCTGTGGTATGAGTCATGTGACATGCTTATGGCAGAGAACATGTAAAGCTTGCCAGCTGAAATGTCATAGAAATCTTTTATATACTGTTTTCATTTGTTTCACAAAGTGGAAATAATCTCACCTCTCTGATAAAGGTTGGATTAAGGACAAAGACTAAAATTCATTAAGCAGTGGGTGTCTTCCATTTAGGAGGCATCTACTAAATGATAGCTTTATTTTTGTTACAATTTGACTTGTTTCTGCTACTGATTGATTGATCAATTGATTGGTTTACAGAGAACAAAGAGCTGGAAAGATCAATGAAAGACTTGTGATCACATCAGAAATTATTGATAATATCCATTCTGTTAAGGCATATTGTTGGGAATCAGCGATGGAAAATATAATTGAAAACCTGAGACAGTGAGTTGATATCATTACAATATTGTTCCAATTTTATACTTAACTTTTAAACGTGACTGCTCCGGTAAAAATCAAGCGTATGTCCTGAGGTGTACCATTATTTATACATCAGTTGCATATAGTCATTTTGATGAGTTAATGGTTTGTTTTGTTTTTGAGACAGGGTCTCAGTTTGTAGGCTTGGCTAGCCTGGAACTCAGTATGTATATCAGGCTGCCCTAGAACTTAAAGATATGTGCCTCCATGTTCTGCCCTGGCTTATGGTTTTACATAGTTAACCCAGGAGTTCTTTTGCACTGCAAGGATATGTAACCCTTCCTTATGAGTCTTCTGCAATTGATCATAATTGCTTAATACCCTTAGTTTAATTAAAATAATAATGAAGATGAGGGAGGCTAATTGAAATCATAAATGGAACTCCTAAAACGAGTAGTTCTGAGAGAAAAGGGAGATACTGTGTAACACTGTTCTTTTCATGTTATGATTTACCAAAGGTTAAAGAAAGCCACATTTGGACAAAGTGTACCTGTTATTCTGAACCTTCAGAATAATGACAAAGGAATTTTCCTCAGTATTGTCCATGCAAATTGCTCACAGGATGGAAAGTCAGTCCCTGTAACAAAAGCCACCTCATGAGATGTTGTCAGTACTTGGCACCTGTGTGTGTTGCCTTCTTTCACCTCAGATAACCTTTCACAGATTAGTAAAGATTATATCTGGGGAGAAAAAAAGTACAGCACACACTGACATGTAATTACTGAGATAATTTGGAGTAAAAAAAATTGAGCATTGCTGTAGCCGTGTAACCAGTTTTCTGTAGTTGACTTCTCTGTTCTACCTACAATCAAGGAAGGGTTTAGACTTTTGCGGAGCAGAGATGCATCATTAAGGAGACGACTAATTTAAACATGAGGACACTTGGAGTGTCTCACAGGGAAACGTGTCTTTGCAGTGGTGAATTGAGGCTGTTTCATATTCAGGCTGTTGGAGCCCAATAGACAATGGTAACTGAGCCGCAGGTGTGTGATTGGAACAACAAAGGAAATGCAGAAATGTTAAGTCCTTTGCCATGTAAATAGAAAGAGCAGGAGAGTATTTATTTCTCAAACATTACTAGTCACCTGCTTTTGTTATACCTTTCAAGATAAATCCAGGAAAGGCACTGCATTTTCTTTCCAGAAACATCCTCAAAGATCTTGGGGGGATTGTTCAGTTGATGAGTTGTTTTGCACATTAACAAGTTCAGTGTTCCAGTACACTCTGCCTAAAAACAGTCACAGCAGGGGTTGTGAGGTTATCAGATGATCCAGTTTCCTCAGACCTCATGATAAACTTACAGACAAGTCATTCCTGTGGCTGACTTTTTCTGACATTGGTATTTTACCCCTCTCTTCCTCAAAAGATAAAATCCATATTTCCTACTCTGTATTTTGGTTTGGCCGATTCTGCTAACATTTGTCTGGTTGTAACCTGCCTGATACAGCATGAAATTGTTACCTGAAAAAGCTGGAAAGTGTTGACGTAAAAGGGATAGTAAGAATTTCTTTTACTTAGCAGAGCAAATACAATGTTCTAGGAGAGACTGACAAGATACTTTTTCAGAAGGATGATTACCTCAGCCTGGGCTGCTGCTGAACAGGGCCAAAGGCTGTACAAATCTCTTTGAAAAACAAATCTTTTATTGCTCTTCAGTAATAAAAGGACTTTAATTTTTTTTATAAGAAACTGTTAGAATGTTTTTAAGGCTTAAAATGGTAGGGATTTTTATAATAGTTCCTAGATGATTCTGTTGTTTATGGATCAATTATTATTTTTCCAATAAGACCTCTCCTTTGTCAGCTGTTGCTAATATATTTGAACAATTTTGACACCTTGCTAACATTTTTTAAACATTTCTGTCATTTTATAAATACCAACTTCATCGATACTATTCATCTCTAAAAGAAAAGGACTATACATTGCATTCTATTAGACTTTCTGCTATGTCATCATCTAAGCTTAAACACTTTTCTACAAGGGAGGTATTATGTTTCTCTTTAGTGATGGAGTCATAGGTAAAACAGGCAGAACCCAAACCATGATCCACCTTCAATACAAATACTGAAAGATAAAACACGGCAACTAATTAGGCTGATCATAATACAGGTTATATACATGTCCTCTATCAGTAAGCTCAGTATTACAGTGTTTTCTTTGAGGACTTAAAAAGATTTCCTTTTAATTCTAATACTTGAGAATGACAGCTGTTTCTCTGAATTATGTATGTAGAAGTATGTAGAAGTGTAGTGCCTGCATGCCAGGCCCTCCTACACCAGACTGTAGATCTGCTATTCCTCATTTTGTGTTTAGCATTGACCTTTGTCTGCACAAGAGCCAGTTGAGGATGATCACAAGTGACTTGAAGCTCTATGGCTTCAAGAGTGGGAAGAAGGACGAGTGGGGCTGAGGTTGAGGACAATATTGCTCTCTGCTGGTGACATCTCAATCATGTTACCATCTTCTGTGGTCCTTGCTTTCCGCCTGATAAAGCATTTAACTTTCTCCTGTATGGTTTACAAAACAGTAGTTCACAGCTGGAGGTCAGACTTGAGGATTGCAACTACAGAGAGGCCTGACTGTGGATAATTGCACTGAAGTGAGAGAGATGAGGGAGTGGCTGGTCCCTGGTCTTTGAAGAACCACCTACAACAGAATGGCTTGGCTTCTTTGACTCAAGAGCTAGTACAGCATCTCAGCATCAGTAGACAGGCTTGGAGAAGAGACTGCCCAGTAACACATTTCTCGGGTGCTTGGTATACACTTTAACAGCTGAGAACCTCTCCTCATGCCATTGTCAATGCTATTTAAAGCCAAGCTAGAATCTCTAAAACGTTAAGAATCTGTCGGATCATGTTTGATAACTGTAACATTATTTTCCCTTCCACACATCATTTCACATTATAATAATGAAGTTACTAGAGATAAAAAAATAGTATAAAATTGAAATCTATTCAGGTAATACAATTTAAATTAATTTTAATAATATAATCAAAATTTTAATTATAGTAATTATAGCTCTTAATTGTTTTACAGCAATTTTAGCAAGCTTTTTGTAAAAAAAAATCAAAACCATGGTATATTCATTAACAGTCACATAAGCTAATTGAGGCCAAGAGAGGTTTTATAACTTGCCCAAACTGTAGGTTGTATGTACCGATTTTATATTCTATGATATATGATATTTGAAAAGAAAATAACATGTCACATCTTCTGTTTTCCACAGGATGGAAATGAAACTGACCCGGAAGGCCGCCTATATGAGGTTCTTCACTAGCTCTGCCTTCTTCTTCTCAGGGTTCTTTGTAGTCCTTTTATCTGTGCTTCCCTATACAGTCATCAACGGAATCATCCTCCGAAAAATATTCACAACCATTTCATTCTGCATTGTCCTGCGTATGGCAGTAACACGACAGTTCCCCACCGCTGTACAAACATGGTATGATTCTGTTGGAATGATAACAAAAATACAGGTAATTCCCATGACTACATCCTTACATGATTTTGAAACATTTTAGAATTTGTAAAGTGGGAGAACTCTCTAAAATGAATTTCTTAGTTTTGGATTTATTAATGGATAAGATTTCCTCTTTTCATTTTCATGCATAGTCTCATGAAGTCTAATGAAATAAAACAAACTCCTATGAGATTTCATAAGGAAATTTGAAACAATTGTTTCTGTAATCTGAAAAGTCCCACCCCAGGAAACTAGTAAATACATCAGTTGTAGGCAGCTTGTAAATATGTAGAAACATTGAAAAATAAATTTTATTGGGAAGTTATAAAATGTTCCAGCTAACCCTGTAATACCCACCTTGAACTTCTGTAGCATTGCTATGGCTAGTATGATGGAAGGAAATGGCATTTTGTACCACATTAATTACTGTACTCCAGAATGCCAAAGTAGCTGCTAGTGGTGGAAAAGTAGTTTATTCAGAACAAAATAAGTAAACTTGTGAGAAACATGTCTCGTTATATTTTAAAATATTTGCTTAAATATTTAATACCGAAAGTAACCTTTATGACAGATAAAATGTGGGATGAAGGGTGAGCTTGTTTTTAAGTGGTTCTTCCATTATTTATCTGATGTTGCAAATGGTGGCAGCATGTAATATAGCTCTGTATCTGTTTTATTTGCCTTTGAAATTTAGCATTGGTTACTGGTGATTAGAAGTGGAGAAGTATCATGTGTACCTTTGTGCACTGGCATATATGTGTGCACACATAAACACCTTCTGACAAACTGAGATTGTCTAGTTATTTGTATCCCCACAGCTGTAGCAGCTGCCATTTAAAGGCTGTCTACTCCATCCAGCTCATCATAATGTCTTCCACCTGTTGCACCCCAAGGTTAAATGAACTTGAGTCGTATGACTACGAAAAGTAGTGAGTGACACTTAGGATCAGAATGGCTCTGTGTTTAATCCTATTTCTCTGTTGATATCATCTTAGTTGGGTGGAGGGATGAGAGAAGAAAGGAGAGGGCAGAGAGATAAGAAGAGAAGTGAGAATAAAACTGAATAGCAACACAAAAATAATCTGAAAAAATGTGAGGTAAATGAGACAAACCAAAAGAAGAAAAGAGGGAGGGAAGTAGGAAAGAGAGGAAAGAAGACAGCCAGGGACCAGTGAATACTTCCGGGTGCACAGATTTAAGTCCTATGCTCCACCTTCCCTAGGAAGAATTTGATTTGGAGTCTCTGATGGAGCCCTTTCTGAAAACACTTAAAAGTCCTTATACTTTCCCTTTATATAGAGAAATGATGATAGTGATGTTGCTTGTAAAGAGAATGTTAAAAAAGAAACCATAATTTGTGGATCTTTTCCTTTGTACTAGCTTTGAACTGGGACGTTAGTAATTATTGGGGTTTCAATAGTAATTAATATTCCATATAGTAGTATAAGAAAGAAGCAGTTATGCACGAGTATCTAATATATGAAACTAGCCTTATAAACCAATATATTTAAAGAGTATATTTTGACTGTGATGAATCATTCTGCTTGGTACATTAACTTTAGAATAATTGTAAAGTTATTTTATTAAATAATTTCTAACTTAAAACTCCCATGTTACAGTGTAAGGAGATAAAGCAGCGTGTTTTTGTTATTCCAATTCTATTATCAAAAGCTTTTACTCTCTTTATTGACTAGGATTTCCTGCTAAATCAAGAATACAAGATACTGGAGTATAACTTAATGACCACAGATGTGACCATGGAGAATGTATCAGCATTCTGGGAGGAGGTGAGAGTTCCTAAACATTGTGAATTTTTAAAAAATATATAAACAATTGAGCCTTTTCCTGTTCATGCTTCTAAGTTTCTACTCAATAAAATCTAAGATTCAAATGATACTATAACTGATAGAGCTATTTGAAGGGGATATTCTGTTTTATAAAGTGAAAAATGGGGGACCAGATATTTATTGCAACAAAAAAACCTCTTTATTTCTTTAAAGTCATATAACTGATTTAATATGACAGGTCAGGAAGATGATAGGCTTCAATACTAGATTTCAATCTTGTCTCTGCAACTCACTTTCCAGGTAGTCCAAATCATATTACTTTCAAGTTATCAAGCCTCTTGTGTCTTCATCTATAAAACGAAGACATGAACTTCCTACTAACTAAGATAATTTACATGGGTTGTTCATTAGTTCATTTTCCATATAGTGGTTCCTCAGTGAAGTATAACTTATCTGATCATGACTTCTAAGTCTCCCTGGCCTGTCACTCAGTGTTGATGAGTCATTGAGTCCCCAAGAGCAGCTTCAGTCATTTTACTCTGGCTGTGGTGTGACCTCACCCAGGCTCAACATTAGTGAACTGATGACATGCAAATGGAAAACTCTGGTCCTAATTTCAATCCTGAATTTCACTCAAGCTATTCCAAATATCTTGCATGGTCTTCATACCCTTCTTATTGATCACTCCTCAAGCTTTACTGTCTCTTTTCCATCATATTCTCCATCTCCTTTGAGAGGCAAGTCTAGGGTGAGTTACATGCCATACTTTGATTAGATAAAATTTATATTTACATACTAGGCAATTGAGGCTTGAGGCTTTTAAGTAAGGAGGTTACTCAATAGCCTGGGTTTCTCAGACCCCAGAGCCATTTCCAAGTCTCCATACTGCATATTGCTACTTAAGGGTACAATAAAGGGGTGGAGGTGTAATTCAGTGGCAGAGCACTTGCTTAGCCTGGACAATGGCCTGGATTTAATTCCCAGGACTGAAAAAAGGAGATGATGAAAAGTGGGAGGAGAAAGAGGAGGAGTAGGGAACTGTTTTTAATGTCTACAAAAGTATTTCCCATGTGTTACCCCAGTAGTGCCCTCAACACCCACTTAGAAGGCTAGAGGAGTTTTACCTATTATTTGGCCCACTTACAGGAGTTTATCTTAAATAGCAAGAGCAAAACCATGCCCCTCTGTGTTTATATCACAGTGTTATTGATTAAACTAAAAGCTGAACCATCTAGTAGAAAACTTTTCAGTTTATACATTGTACTCTTGTCTTCCAGTTAAACTTAAAAGTACTTAATGAATGAGAAAACACTTGTAAGCAGATATCAAGAAAAAGCAGACCACACATTTTACAGTGTTTATGAAAATTAGATTAGACTTTAAATCCAATCGGAAAGCGATTGGTTACTATCATGATACTTGTGCTACTATTGCACCAACAGGCATGTCAGTAAGACTGGTGATTATTTTTCTCCTTTGGTAGTATACATAAAGCCTTGCAACACTGTGAAAGCTAGTCAGTAGTGATGTAGCATCCAGGTGAATCCCAGCTTAATTTCTCCATGTTCTATTAAACATGTGGAATCCTCAGGTTCTGGAGGGTAAGAGCCCGTCAGGAGGATGGAAAGAGACACTGGAAGTAGAAGAGAGGGATGTTGAGTTTGAGAGTCTTGTTTGAGCTAATAGGAAAAAAGGTGCTTCGAGGACATCAGCTGAAAGGTCAGCTGGGTGCTTTCTCTGCCTCTCTGAGCTTGTAGGCTTTCACCCCAGCATCTGGCGCCTGAGTCTTTATTGATAAATTGAGTGATTGAGACATTGCCATGGGGTAATGGAGAGGTAAGCCATTTTCAAAAGGGATTCGTCTCCAACCCACACATGCCCTTGTGATGATCAATTCCTTTACTCCTCTACCAACTTCATCATATTTGTAGCCAGCGGTAATTAATAAATGTCCTGAGAAATCTTAGGAGAAGGAACTACCAGTGTGACAGAACAGAAGTCAGGTTTGCATTTTAATTCCTTGTTTATAATACTTGTTTCTGACTGTTAGTTTATCCATTCTGAGACATAGTCTACAGTTTGAAGAGGAAGATTATGAAACCTGCCTCATATATTATGCTGAATTAATACTATGTACCAAGTCCATAGGAAAAAGGGTATACATGTCTACTTAATTCCTATAATCTTGGTACACACACACACACACACACACACACACACGCACGCACGCACGCACGCACATGCACACAGACACACACACAGACTTGAGCTTTAGTAATATTAAATTAATGTAATGAGAAACAAAGGTTTGATAAAGGGGAATTGTATTATCATTGATTATATCTACATCACAAATATTTTGAACCATGCTCTCTAGAAAACCTGTGCTTTATAATTGTATTTATTAATTAATTAAAAATGCATATGTCTTATAATGGATTGTGTACCATATGTTTCTTAAACTGATTGCACTTAAAGATATCTATTGAAAATATCTGTAGACATTTTTATTTTTGATGTGTCTAAATAGGGATTTGGAGAATTATTGGAAAAAGTACAGCTAAACAATACTGACAGAAAGCTTTCAAATGGTGACAGCAACCCAGGTTTGGGTCATATCTGTCTTCTGGGAAATCCTGTGCTGAAAAACATCAGTTTTAAAGTAGAGAAAGGAGAGATGTTGGCTATTACTGGATCTACTGGAGCAGGAAAGGTACTGTCTCTTTAAATTTTTACATTTTTTGAGAAATTCATACAAGTACTATATTTATATAATTCCTATTCCTTTCCCCTATTTCTAACACCTTCCATATACCCCTCCTCACCTCCATTTAAATTCATGACCTCTGTTTTGGTTATTATTATAATATATAATGTACTGGATCCATTTTGTATTTCTTATATACACATGTATTTAGAGCTGATCCCTGGGGGAAGATTGATTATCCCTCTAATCTTTTGTTTGGCTGTAATTCTTCATCTAGGGTAGTAGTTCTCAACATGTGGTCACGACTCCTTTGGGGGTATTAAAGGGTCACAGCATTAGGAAGGTGGAGAACCACTGTTCTAAGGGATGGGATCTTGTGAGATTTCCCTCATCTACATTGTAATGCCAACTGGTGATATCATCATGTAGGACATATTTGTTAACAATAACTTGGATATTTCATAGGTATAGTGTCTCATATCTAGAAGATACATTTCAGAAGCAGATATTCATGTCCTCTGGCTCTTATGATCTTTCAGCTCCTTCTTCCACAATTTGCTCTAAGCCTTAAGTATAGATGTTGCATTTTAGATATATCAATTGGGACTGAGTACCCATTGTCACTTGACTAGTCGTAGATCTCTGTAATAGTTTACATCCATTGCAAAAAGATGTGACTTTGATAAAAGGTATGAACTAAACTTACCTGTGGGTATAAGGGTAAGTACTTCAAATCCAGTTAGAAATCATAGTAGCTTACAAAAATAACAGTAGTAGGATCTCCTCTCAGAGCTATGACCTCTCCAGCTGTGATTAGTAAGGTTTACAGTACTAGGTATGAATTCTGTCTTAATGAGTTTGTCTTAGGTTCAGTTAGGTAGCTACTGGTTATCCCCAGTATGCCACTGTTATGCCATTGGTGTTATATCTTGCTAGGGCAGTCTTTTTATTACTCATTATTAAGAATTTCATTTAGCATTCATTTATCCTTTTCCTCTAGTTTGCAGTATATGAAATATTTAAGAGAAATTTTTATATAGGCATAGAAATATTTGAATGTATTGTTTACTTAAAATATATGTTGCTAGCCGGGCGGTGGTGGTGCACGCCTTTAATCCCAGCACTCGGGAGGCAGAGGCAGGGGGATCTCTGTGAGTTCCAGGCTGGGCTGGACCGGCAGCCTCCAAAACAATACCGAGAAACCCTGTCTCGTAAAAACCAAAAAAAAAAAATATGTTGCTTCAGTAATGGTTTCCTCAGGGTTTTTAGTTATTCACATTATTTCTTGTGACTTTTTCTATATGTTTATATTTTGTTTAAAATTTAGCTTTATTATACATGTAGAGGGATTTCAATAACTATTGATGTAAAAACTATCTTTTAACCATTTTTTTTACTACAGATCTATTTTTTAGGGCTAGTCCAGGAAAGTCATGGCTAAGATTTTACCACTGTAGCACAAGGTCTGATATATATCAGATTTTTGAATGGACTAATTCTTGCTTAATATATATTATGAAAATATGTCAAGTGGAAAGATATTCAACAAAATGTTATTCAGTGACTATTCTACTTCCCCACCCGCTCCCAAGAACAACCTATTATTCTTGTATAAGTTTTGCCTTTGGAGAGGCATTTCACAAAATCAAATCTGCTAAAAGGGAAAACTGCCCTAAAATCTAATGTTACCACCAAGAGACTTTATCATGCTATTTCAGATATGACCTGTCGTATAGATAATAGACACTTGTTTTTTAACAGTTAGCTTGATAGCACATTGAAGAACCAAAGGAATAAAATTGGATGTGAGTATGTGCTTCATGATATTGGACAACAAGTATTTGCCATGAATACCCATAAAATAGATCCTTGTTCCAGTTAGAGTGCCATTTTAGGTATGGTACCTTTCAGTAATATAAAAATGTGTTTATTAATCCCTTAAATTCTATAGGAATAAATGAGAAAGTTAAGGAGAGAGAAGGAATGAAGAATAAGGAAGTGTTTTTATTAAATAAAATGAAAATGATAGATTCTGAAAGGGAATTTGTTTCTATTTTATATTAATATCTTAATCAGGAAAAGTTGTATAATGATGAGTTTTACATGACAGTTCAGAAATAGAATACCACAGAAAATTTCTAATTACTGTATATCTAGCTTATCTTTCTCTCTGATTGTTTCCCCAAATGTGACATGGGCCATTTAAATAAAAGCGTGCTCCTCAGAGTATTATTTTTCCTTACTGTCTTCTATGGAATTAGCAGCAGTTTTCAGTAGTAAAAGAAAATGATACCTCAAGAGTCTGCATAGCTGATGCTCTAGGACACACCAGATGGCCAACACCAGACTATCTGCTTGGAAGAATATTACTGTGCTACATATAATTTTGAAAGGGAATTGTCCATATACTTAAGATCATTACATGACACATGTAAAAATAGAATTTGTTGAACTTAGCAGTAATTAACTCTCAGACAAACTATGAAAAACCGATGACAATGTAATTCCACTCAGTGACTGCTCATGCCTCCCATGGAAAGATGCTATGAAGGCAGAGGAAGATCCTCATCCACTTGTCATCAAGAGTCTGACAGCTCAGTCAGAGGGAGGGAGAATTCTTATCATTTTCCTGGAAACTAGCTATAATATAAGATTTGTAACAGATTCTTCAATATTCAGAAGTTAATTTTATACTTCTTGATTTGATAGCTTGCCACTTAAGCCTTAAAGATAACCAAATGGTTCACCTACCTGTATGTTATGCCCTTATAGGTTTATAGAGATTTGATACAGGTATCTTCAGAGAAGTATGGATGGGTATTGAAGCTCTCTAGTCTTTGGTTATAGAAAGTTTTCTAAAATATGTAGTTAAGTAAGAAAAGAACAGTATTTTTTGTGGTATGCTACATTGTACTCCTCCTCCAAGGATACTAAGAAATAACTATAGTATGGGTTTTAGGGATGTTTATATTTTGTTTACATTTACAATATTTATGCATGCTTCATATTTCATTTTGGACATTTATTTCACCATAATGAATTAAATGAGGAAGGTAAAAATCAGTGTTTTCCCTTCCCTGATACTTGTTTTTTTTCATTTATGCATACATGTATGTATGCATGCATGCATTAAGTGGTTAAGAGTACTTTTATTGTCAGCACAGGGACCTGAGTTCGAATCCCAAACTTGGCATAGATGTGCACCTACCTTGACAGGGTGAGACAGTTGGATCCTAAGAGCTCCCTGAAAGCTGCTGTAGCTGAAACTGCAAGCTTCAGTTCAGTAAGAAACCTTGCCTCAAGGCAACAACGAGACAAGACACAGAAGATACCAGACATATCTACTCTGGCTGCTACATGCACACAGAAGAGTGCTGGCACCCATATATTTACTTTTATGTAGCACACACATACAGTGCAAGTGCATGTGCGCACACACAAACAATCCTTTAGACATCCAACTTTTCTTGAGTGATAACATTCTCTACACCACCGCCTTCCCTATTGCCTCTTTTATGTATACTTGGTTTTCTTCTTAGAACTCCTCTTGTGAGGGCATGTAACACATTCAAATTCTTCAGCTTTTTTATTTTTATACTTATAAGAAAGTGGCATACAAAAAACTTTTTACAAACAATTTTGGCATGCATACATGTTTAGCGTTTATTAAAGATGAAAGCAAATTCTCATACTATCAAGATAGAAGTACTTTGGCTGGGCGTTGGTGGCACACGCCTTTAATCCCAGCACTTGGGAGACCGGGACAGGCGGATCTCTGTGAGTTAGAAGCCAGCCTGGTCTACAGAGCGAGTTCCAGGACAGACTCCAAAGCAATACAGAGAAACCCTGTCTCAAAAAGCCAAAAAAAAAAAAAAAAAAAAAAAAAAAAAAGATTGAAGTACTTCCTTTTTGTGTGTGAATAATATCAATGAGCCTTGGCTTAATGATAGCTCTTTTAGTTTCTTAGGTTGTCATATATCAAGAAAGGCTATCTGAATGTGCTTTTTTCTTTCCGTCTAATGTGGGTTTGAAAGAAGAAGATAACACTGATTCTGTATTAGTTTACTGTGATGAATAAGCACACTCATATAGTTAGTGCACACAGGCAGCACCTAGGCCAAGAGCTCTCAGCCAAGGTTCACTGTTACCGGTCTCACACCTGCAAAGCTGTCCCCAGCACACTAAAGGAGGGACTCACTCTTTGTTAACCTTGACATTCTCACTCTGTGTTGCCATTGTCTCTTTCATTCCCTTTGTATTTTCTCTCCTAGAAAAGTCCCTGGATCATAGCACTAAAACATCTTTAATCAAATGAGTTAATAGACTCTCTAAGTATTGGGAGACTTCAGATTAGAATAATGGGAGGCAAGCTAAAGCTAAGTAATTTGATCAAACACCTACAATTTATTTGTAGACATCACTTCTGATGATGATTTTGGGAGAACTGGAAGCTTCAGAGGGAAAAATTAAGCACAGTGGAAGAATTTCATTCTGCTCTCAATTTTCTTGGATTATGCCGGGTACTATCAAAGAAAATATCATCTTTGGTGTTTCCTATGATGAGTACAGATATAAGAGCATCGTCAAAGCTTGCCAACTACAGGAGGTAAGAAAATTTATGAAAAAATGCTGATTGTATTAGCTACTTGTATTATTGTTGTGACAAAATACGTTGACGATGCAGTCTGTTTTAGCTTATACTGTTCCAGGAGGACACCGTCCATTATGGCAGAGGAGTGGCAGGACCAGGAGGATGGCTGGTCACATAGCCTCTGTATTCAGGAAGCAGCCAGAAAACAGGATATGGGATCTAGGCTACAAATCCTCAAGGCCCACTCCCACTATACCACTTCCTCCAGTAAATCTCCACATCTTAAAGGTTGCATAACCTTCCCCAGTAGTACCACCCCCTGGAGACCAGATGTTCAAACACTTAAGTCCACTGGGGATTGCTCACATTCAAACTACTACATTGATAACACCCATTAATCTTAAGACTAACTGAATTACACATTTAGTTCTCTGTTCATTTATTGTATACATATCAAGGGCTCCTCAAGGAGTAAGCTATAGTAAGTTGGTCGATGAATAATACCCATGACTCCTGCTTTAAGCTTACAAATTTATAAATGGATGCAGTTTATTTTTAAATTATGTTTGGGTTTTGTAAGAATCAAAATTCCTTATGCACTGGATGTGGTACCTCATGCCTGTAATCCTGGTACTCAGGAGACTGAAGCATGGAGATCATGAGGTTGAAGCCAGTCCTGGCTATATAATGAGTTCTAGGCCAGTCTGGGACACATGGTAGGATCAGGCTAAAACAAATAAGCCAAAATGCTTCATGAGTTCTACAGTAGTATTTTGTGTACACTCTGAGACCACAGTGAAAAGAGAACCTATCCATGAAGTACTGAGTTAGCTTTGAAGAAGATAATCATGATTTTTCAAATGCCTTTTTTTATAACCTGGAGGTTGGCACATTCTGGGTTTGTTACCAGATCTGTTTCCTAGACAAGCTTTTGTGCCCAGGGAGTGGTGGTAGGTCTTACCTGGCTCATTTATGGACTGACAGGGTGAGGTGGTGTGGTAGCTTATTTATGGACTGACAGGGTGAGGTGGGGTAGTAGCTTCTTTCTAGTTTTAGTTATGGCTTTGAATATATATTTTCCAATAAAAATGATTTTAAAGATGGTATTTGAGTCCCAAAAGTCAATCTACAGAAATGTATAAACCCTGAATATAGCATATGTACATTACTTGTAATAAATTTATATCTGTGAGTCTCTAAATACCTTTGGAAAAGTATTTACAACATTTGGGACCCTGGTAGATTGCTGGTTCGTTGAAGAAGATCATGTATATTTTGAAAGGTTCATAGTAGAATGCCCTTTATTGATAGTGGAGGATTATATGGAATATATATTTATATAACTAAATAAAGCTGTTAAAAATAATGAAGGGGAAAAAAGCAAAACGTTATTCTTCTGGTTGGAAGGCTGTATTAAAATTATTTTAGAGTGTATTATTTAGTGTATTTTAGTACATTCACATGGTTGTGCAATGATAGCCACTGTTTTAGCATCTCTAAAAGGACTTGTGTACTCTTTAAGAATCAAATTCCATTTTTAATGTGTGTGCCAGCTATAAGCAGCCAGTGATCTATATCCATAAATCCTCCTGTGTTTTACATTTTGCATAAAAGGAACCACTCACCAGGATAAGCAACTCATATATAATGAAAGTTAATTTTTTTATTTATTGAGAATTTTATACAAGTATCTAGTGCATTTTTTTCACCCCCTCCTACATGTCCTTTAACTTCTCCCATACCCTTCTAGCCACATCTTTGCTTTTTTTTTTTTTTTTTTTTTTTGGATTTTCAAGACATGGTTTCTCTGTATTGTTTTGGAGACTGTCCTGGAACTCACTCAGTAGACCAGGCTGGCCTTGAACTCACAGAGATCCGCTTGTCTCTGCCTCCCTAGTTCTGGGATTAAAGGTGTGCGCCACCAACACCAGACTACATCTATGCTTTTTTAACTCTCCAAGTTCAATCAGTGCTGTCTTACTCTCATGCATATACTGGCAGCATTAAAGAAATTAAAGTAGAACTGGTGATAGTCTTTATCTAGAAAACATCTACTAAGACTTTCTGTGCTTTAAACAATATATCAAGCATGATGGAAACAATAATAATGAATTTAGCAGAAAATGAAAAAGCAAACGCTTTAGGAGTAAAAGGAAGAAACAGACACTGTCTGGTTCTGCTAAGAAAGAGCAGCTTCCAGGTAGAGAAAAGGGTAATGTCCCTGATAGAATGACTCTTCATAGAAATCTAGGAATCACGACAAAAGCTTGTGACCTGTAGTGTTCTTCATTAGGAACTTACGATCTTCCAAAAAAGCAGAGAGAAAGTCTGGATTTAAGAAGTACAAAAATAGGGTATGGTTACTAAGGTATCTTCAGATAGGTACACGATAGAGCTATTGGCGCAAAACCCTTTCAGTAAACATTAAGTTGTTTGTGCTTCTTTTGAAGTATAGGATAAGACTTTACAGAGTAAAACAGGGGGGATACTTTGAGAGCCGGTTGTTATTAGTGAGTGACTACGATGAAGTCCAAGTGAAAAAGGAAGAGAAGAACCATGAAACCAAACAATAATGGATATGAATTTTGGTATTAACAAAACTGGTCATGGAGAAAACTACAACAATGGCATTTTAAAGTTTTTGACTTGCATGGCATAGTCAAGAATGGTTTGGGTATCTATGGAAGAAATCTAATTAAAGCAGATCCTAGGGGGTTGGAATGTAGACAGGTTGACTTTGTTCAGTAAGTAACAGTGGCAGTTGGATTTAATCCCACTTTTTGTGTTTCTTTTAGATTCATAAAAGTTATCTGTGTGGTTGCTGCATGTCAGACTGTCCTGGTTTGATTTCTGATGCTACGATTTTTGACCAAAAGCAGCTTAGGGGAGGAAAGGGATTATGTGACTTATACTTCCAGGTCAGTCTCTTGCTAAGAAAATTTAGGATAAGCAACTCAAGGCAAGAACTTGAAGCATAAACCAAGAAGGAGTACAGTTTTCTCATTTGTTCTTTGTGTTGTTAGCAGGCGTATGCTAGCTCCCTTTTTTATACAACCTAGACTATCTGTCATGAAGGGCCATTGCCCACAGTGGCCTGGGCATTCATACATCAATTAGTAATCAAGACAATGTCCCACAAACATCCATAGACCATTTGATCTGGGCAATCTCCCAACTGAGATTTCTTCTTCCCAGATGACTCTAGGTTGTGTCAAATTGACAATAAAAACAGTATATTCACTTTATGAGGGGCATGGTGGGTACCAAATGAAAGCTTAACCATTCCTCACATAACTGTATTTATGGGATAAATTTGGGGGAAACAAACTTAAGGATCCAATTTTCATGATACTGCAATTTTTATATTGCAGTCAATGGTAGGCTTTGAGCCTACTTGGATAATCCAGGAAGTTCTTCTCTAAGAAACAACTTTTGATAGAATAAGTAAACATCATGTATAGAAGAAACTGAACAGAAACACAGGGTATGAAACCACTGAGTTCAGGGGATTATAAGCTTCTTGATAGAACCAGAGTATAACTAAAGAGAGTGGGTGAATAGCAATGGAGTGGGGAACCATCTCATGGACACCAGTCTCTGGAGTTTCATCTTGGAGAACTTTAAGCTCAAGGGTGCTATAGCAACTTCAAAGTTTATTGTTGTCACTCTGTGATGATGGTGAACAGAATTAAGGTGGATACTTTATGAATTTAGTATGGTATAAATAGCATATTTTTTGAAATCATACAAAACTGGGTCATAAAGGTTGACTTGCCTCTACTGAACTTTTAATCTCTGCAATATGAAGCTAATATTGCCTATTCTATTTGTAGAGTCCTCTAGTACATGAAAGGTTCATCATAAATAAAGTACTCCATGCAAACTATCTGTATGCCTGCTTTCCTCCAATGCTAGAGATTGAATTCATGTCCCTGCTTTAGCTAGATTATTATATCCTATTATACACCCAAGACCTCATGATTTCTTTTAACTGTTTTCATGTGTCCCATATAGTTTGAGTGGTTATCTAGGAGATCTCTTTTTACAAAATATATTTACATTTTATTTTATGTTTATTACATCATTACCTCCTTTCTTTTTTCCTTCCAAACACTGGCTTGTACACCTCCCCCTTGCTTTCATTGAAATTCATGGCTTCTTTTCCTTTAATTATTGTTACGTCTATATGTAACATAAATATTATATATTCCTAAATATATAAGTACAAACTGCTCAGTCCATATAGTGTAATGTTACTGGCATGAGTTCAAGGCTGACCGTTTGTTATTGAATAACCAATTGTTGCTTTCTTCCCTTAGCATTCTTTAGTTGCCTGCAGCTCTTTGTTTAGGATTGAGGCTCCTGAAATTTTTCCTTTCTATGTTTACATATCCAATCAGTGTCACTGTTCTTCTTGCTTGTCCCTTTAATTACCCTTCTTTTTCTTAGTCAAATAAGACGCTAAGTAAAACTTCTTTTAAATTTTAATGAATCCCTAAGTCATTATTCCTTTTTGTCCTGCTGCTTTTTGCAACTGAGTTAGAACTTGTCAGTAACCTTATAAAAGGCAAAGGCCCCCCGAAATTTCTTGAATCACTTTGCTCTTTAGAGTGATCAGTGGTGGTCAATGTAGCATTACAATGAACTAATAAGTATATGCTGTGCTATTATATTGGTATGAATATTTCACATATATTTTGGTTACCTTAACTACACAGTAAAGCTCTTCACACAGAAACTCTGGAATGTTATTTCAATTCATTCCACCTAGTGCACTGATAGGATAGTAAAATCTTACTTGTTGACTGTTTTGCAAATGGTTTGAGGTGGCATGTTGCTTGTAAGAATCCTGCTCAGAAAACGTTCGGGGAGTGTCCCTGTCTCAGAAGCTGAGCAGGCAGTTTCATGAAAGAACGCGGTTTCTGAGAGGTTGAAATAAATTTGCTTGTCCTGCTATAGAGAAGAACATCAGAGCTCCACCCTGTTTGCGGTGCCATAGGCTTCCATGTTTGTTT